TCCTGTCCTTGGCTTAGAACAACTTCCTTAAAATTCACCTCCAACCAAGCTACCAGCACAGCATCACCTTCATCTGTTTGGTTTTTCTCTTCACTGTATGTGCAGGCAGAAGCAAGCCCTGAAATGACAATTTTCTATGGATTCCTTATCTTTGAGGGATGGAGACAGACTCAAATGGCCTCTCCACAATGAGAGAGAGTGGCAAGGAGAGAATGGAAGGCAGGGCTATAAACAGATGCCATTGTCTTGGTCTTCTCATCCAGTTGTAATACCTGAGTGCTTATGCTCAGATAAGTCTCGATTTCAGACAAATAGCAAATGTTTTATTTTTGCATAATTATGTTTCCACTATTGCATTCATCTCTGACTGGGTTCACTGAATCTCAAAATTCTAGCTCCTTGAGAATAAACATTTTGTGGCTCAGTGAGCAATTTTTGTTTCATTCATTGCTTTTCAAAGTATCTATTTAGTGCTTTGCACTTCGAAAGGATATGAAGAGATCAGTACAGTTTTAAAAGATTATGCAAAAACATTTCATCCTAATGAAATCTGGTGGTATTTGATAGATGTATTCATTGAAAAGTGGTGGTATTTGATACATACTATCACAAGCTCCCTGGGGGAGATGTTTCCCCACGAAGCAGCTTTTCTCCTAGGAATATAGCTTCTAATCCTGAGTACCCATCTCCATGACATTCTTTGTTTTTCGTTTAGGCCATCGCCTGCATTCCTCAAAAACAAGTTAAGCAATTGTGAGCACTACCTTTTAACAACTCATTCCTCCGTTAGAGTCCCAGTTGCTGAGTGTTGTCCAGGGTGCTGAAACAGCAGATTTAAGTTGAAGACACAGTCCTGGGGAGACAGATGATAGACGTGCATGAAGCGTATGCTGGTGCAGACATTCCTGAGGGAAATCCAAGTATGAGGCAGTACAAAGATGAACTGGGTTGATATTAGCTGTGGCACTTTGGAAAGGGCTCTTTAATGAGATATTTCCTCAGCAAAACACTGAAGGAAGAAAAGGGAGGGTCACCGAGGATATCCTGGGAAGAGCTTCGCAGGAGGAGGGGGAAATGAGCAGAAGGCTCTTAAGAAAATGATGTATATCTGTAACAATAATAAACAAATAAGAGATTATGATTTTGACAGAGATGATGTAAATACAGTACTCAGGTATTGATTTCTCAAAAAATTAAATCTCTTCAGTTGAACAAAGGATAATCATTGATCAGTCAGAGAGGTGGTGGAAAGGTCAGTGTGCCAGAGCCCAGTGAGAGAATAGCAGGGCAGTAAGGAGATCTGTTTGTTCCAACGGGACGCTGAGTGTGAGGTTTGCAGACTTCCCTCCTTAAACTGTAGTTGACAGCCCCACATAGGGGTGTAACTAAGTATGAAGGTTGGAGAAACGGGTGGCAACAGTAAAATGTTTCTGACCAATACAATAACCAAAAACCAATTTAAGATAGAATGTATGAAGTCAGAGATGTCCCTGGTAGCCCACTCCTGTGTTTGCCCATGGAGCATCACTGTAGCCTTGCTTCTGAACTCCCAGCATGCACACATTGCACTTTGCATACTGTCCCACTAGGCAATGCCAGCCGACACTGCTTGGAACCCCTTGGTGTAGGTTCAAGACTGTTGTGTGTGATTAGTACCAAATTTTACTGTGCAGAGAGAATTTTCCCCTCTTATAAATATATAATTCTTTGATTACAGATAACAGTCTTCGAAATATTTTATTGTTTGAAAATTTCATAGATAAATTTTAGTCATTTTCCCCTCCCATTCTTATTTCTCAGTCCTTTTCCTCTGCCCCTGGAGCCCTTCCCCTCAACAAACCCCCCTTCTACTTTCATGTCTTCTCTGTGTGTGGCCCCCTGGGTTTAATTAGAGTTTCATGCCTGTGCATGGGTGGTGGCTCATTTCCCAAGCAAGGGAAATTACAGAACATGACACACAGTTGTTAATTCGCAGTGAGTCCTCATGGAGGGTTGGGTCTCACGTCCTCCCCCTACCTATGAAGGAATGTTGGGGAGGCTGGCCTTGTGAAGATCTTGTGCAGATACTCCAGTGAGTTCATGGTTGCAGTGGCTATGCTTTGTCCAGGTGACACCTTTTTACTGAACATCCCCGTGTTCTTAAGCTCATACATTTTCCACCCCTTCTTCTGCTGTGTGCCCTGAGCCTTGGGGTGGTGACACTGTTGTTTCATGAAGGATGAGTTCACCATCACTCGTTCTCAGCACTTAGGCCAGTTATGAGGAAACAAAGACTTCTGATGTTCTCCCCACCAGACCTCAGGCTGTGGCGGGTGATATGTCTTTGGCTCGGATTGTTCTGGAATGTTTGACATTAAAAGTTGCTGTGAGAGTTGCAGACTTAGAGTTTTGCAGAAGTTGTTTACTGAATTTTGTCTTGTGATAAGGAAAAGGATTTCTAATAACTTCTGGAATATTCCTAAACATACTTCAGTTATTTTATACTACACATGTATACAGA